ATGTTTTTTCCCCTTTTTTTTTTTTTATTTTTCCCCCAAATTGGGGATTTTTGTTTTTCAGGGGTGGGGCAATTGGTTTTAATTCCCCAGGGGGGGGACCAGTTTTTTTTGGTTTCCTTTTTTGGGTTTTGTTGTTCCCCCGGGGTTTTTTGTTGTTTTTTTTTTAAAAAATTTGGGGGGACCTTTTTTTTAAAAGTTGGTTTTTTTTTTCCCCGGGAAAAAAACGGGGAATAATTTTGTTCCCCCCGCCGGGGTTTTTTTCCCCAAAAGATTTTTTTTTTGCCCTCAGGGGGGGGGGGGGGGGGCCCCCAAAAAAGGGGTTTTTGGATGAGAATCCCCGGGAACCCCTTCCAAATTTTTAAAGGGGGGGGGTTTCGGATTTTTGGGGAAAGGGAAAAAAATTTTCCCCCACTCCCCTTGGGTTTTTTCGGGGGGGTGCGGGTTTTTAACCCGGGGCTTTCCCCCCCAAATGGGGAATTCGGGGGTTTGGGGGGGGAAGTTTAAGGGGTTCCCCCCCCCCCCCCCCCCCCCCCCCCGCTTCTCGGCACGCAACAACACGTGTGCTATGCAATGATATTCACCATCTGCAAACAAGAAATGAAAGACGCGTACTGACAAAAGCGCGTGTTTTTTCATCTCTTCCGGTAAAGATTGAAGGCCGCGATGTTCGCGATAGATTCATGGTGGTGTTTTCATGGCGGTAGGCTCCCCCCACGCTACATGAGACCGGTCTTTTCTTTCGTGTCTTACACCTCAGGGGTAAAAAAGGATTCACAGAAATGATGGGTGTGATTTCCCCCCGCTGCTGATACAACTAGGACGCAAGGGTACATTCACATTTGATGTGATTTCCCCTCCGCTGCCGACAACTCCCCCGAAGAGCTTGTCGCGGTGTGTGTGTGCGTGATCCTTTGATATCGACCGCGTTAACCGGCTGACCAATTTAAAAGGGTGTGTGTGTTTTGTTGAGGCTACCTAGTAGGTCGTCCTCATCCTTGTTGGTTAGTCTCAACCGTACGCGCCGGGGGTACATTGCCAATAATCTTGAGCGGAGTCACGAAAATCCGTTTCCGGCTCTCGCGCACGTTTTCGAGCGGTACGTTTCCCTCTCCAAACGTTGTTTACCTACTACTGTGCTGCCTGTGTTGAGTAACCGTAGGTGACGTTAGATATTACACCGCCTTGGACCGATTTTCAAAGCTTGATTTCTCCACACAGCAGGAAGAGCAGAGGCGTCGAAATCGGCGGCGTTGAAAGCAGTCTCATGGGGAGCTTTCCGAAAACGTGTCGCTTAATTTTTGCGCCCTCTTCGTCGTGGAGAAAATCGAGCTTTGAAAAATATCGGTCCGGGGGGTGTGGTATCTTGTGTGACCTACGGTAAATACCCCTCCCACATAATACGTTGAGGCCACTGGAGCGTCGTCACTTGTCTCACCCACCACGTGCACGCTCCACCTGCCCTCTCTGCACCAGACGGCGGAGTACTCGATCAACTCGGAGTATGTGGCCACGGCTGATACGCCCGGGGTTTCAATCGCCGGTTCCGGCGGCGGTACAGGTGCGCCTGGCGTTGTCCTTGTCGATTCTTGAGAAAACTTTTTTGTTTTTGTTTTCGCGATAATTTTTTCCGAGCTCGAAGCAAAGCGAAGCCGGGGTTCGCCAGCAGCAAATCTCAAACATCACCACTACCACCGACAAAGTGTAGACCAATATCATAGCAGACAATTTGTCACTAGGTACGATTTACGATGGGGTTTTTGTTGTTGTTCCATGAGCGCGGCTGCAGCGGCGAACGGTTTCTGCTCCATGTCTCTGTGTACTTTGATGTTGCCCTCCTGTTACCTGCTTTGTTTTCTACCTCCTCCTAAAAAACTAGAAATAATCTTCGCCGCTGTCGATTTTTCTGTTATTTTGTGCGTACTGCTGTATCTCCTTTTTCTTCAAGGGGTGGACGAGGAAGGAGAAGTCAATGTCCTGGCTACGGAGGCTCCGGAAGTAGCCGACGACGACATCGGTGACTTCACCCGCCAGACGCAGTTCCTCGTCGGTAAGCGTCGTCCGAGCCACCGCAACACAAAAACACATGTGTCCGACCTGTCAAAACGTGAAGGAAGGGTGGGTGGGTGGGTCCCGGGCAGGCCCACTCACTCTCGCAACATTACATCGGAATCGTGTCAGAACAGGGATCGGGTAACTCCGGAAAATGTGTTTTAACTTCAGAACATAATCCTCAGGTTGACCATATCATGGTACGTATGTTTCGATTCATTCCCCGTTGCCGTTGTTCCCGCCGTGACGCTCTGGCTTTTTTGTGCGATCTGTTTTTGTTTTGTTTTTCAGGTGCGGGGTTGGTGGTGGTAGTGTCGTTCTTCCTGTCGATCGTCGCTTGCATCGTCTGCCACATGAAGCGAAGAGACCGCAAGGAGTTCAAGAGGTAAAGTATAGGAGGCATGTGTGTGGCTGCTGTTGCCGTTCGGATTTTCTCGCCCCCACGTTGTGGGTAGACACGGGTGTATCTCTGTCTACATACGTCTTCGTGGTTTGTATGTTTGCTTAATTGGCATCGACTGCGCTAACCGGCTGACCAATGCAAAGACGTCAACTCTCAGTGCGGTTGAAAACACAAAATGCTTCTCAAGGCCGTGATGTGGGACCCCGTGCAGGGGCTTCATTGGGGAGGCTATGGTACTTTCTCCCTCGCTCCCTCCCTTCCTCCCTCCCTCTCTCTCTCTCTGTCTCTCTCTCTCTCTGTGTGTTTTTTATTTCCTTGGGAGGCAGGGTGGGGCCCCGCATGTGTTGTTGTAGGGTGACGGGTGATGAGTAATCACCCAGAAGTTTGCACCCTGAACCGTCTTGTTTGCAACGTCCATCCGCTTGACGTAGTACTTGAACCTTTTTTTATGTTTTTTTGTGCACCTTCGGTTACTTTCTTTCTTGTGTATCTGTGTCTTGGTCCCATCCACGCACGTGTGTGCCCCAAGCCATGGCTAATCATGAACAAGGTACTGAACATGTTGACCTTGCACATTGGGTCTGCTCCCGTAGGCACCATGTTTCGACACCTTGCGTGCACCAACACCTTGGGAGAACACCCAAAACTCTTCTCAACTCGTGGTGCATCTCCACACATCACGAATATTGTAGTGGGGCAGTTTTGTGTTGTCGCGTCTTCCAGTTTGTTTCTTGCTCATGAACGAACCGAAACGTTCGTCTGTTCGTCTGTCTTTCGCAGGAGGAACCAGGGCGAGGACGGAAGGCCGAAGCCCGTGGCCTACGTGGACCCCTGGGGCTCCGTGGCTACAACCTTCCAGAAGGACGGCGCCAAGGCACCCTCCCCTTCGGCGAACGGCGGCGGCTCCTCGAGGGGGGGCAGCAGAGTGGGAAACGGGTCGTCGGCGGGGGGGTACGGGAGAAACGGGTCCCGCACAGCAGACAGCTCCGCGTCGGCGTGATGATGACTCGAAAGAGCTAAAAAGAGGCGATATTTTTTCTTTTTTAGAGCAGAGAAATGAGTGATGCTTGTCGTTTCTTTTCGAAACGGGTCCCTTTTTCTTTCCTTCGGTTACAAAAAAAATGAGACAGGATTATGAGACGAGACTACGCGTGTGAAGGTGTGGGTGTAGGGTGGGGGGGCGATAAGGTGAACGACAGGTTTTTGTGCTGGTTTGAACGCAGGGTAACGGGGGTTAGTGCAGGACAAGTTGGACAAGCGAGTTTCGGTTACGTCACCGGGTGTTTGGCGCGTTGGTCATCAGGTGACTGGACTGCACAGCGGTAGTGGCGAGCAAGCCGGCGGCGGCAGCGATAGCGCTTTACCCCCGGCAGATTGGTGTTGGAGTTGCAGTAGTATTTGTTCTCGTTCTTGTGTGATTTTTTGTTCCTTGTGTTTTTTCTTTTTTTTTTTGCTCTGCAGGCACTTAGTTTGTTCGCGGCTTTTCTGAATCCCATTGTCACTATCCTATGCCGAGACAGGGGGAGGGGGGGGGTCGCAACCTGAATCATGTGGGGGCTTTGCTTGCGGTGGCGTGTGTACGACGCAGTTGGCGTTTTTACACCAATGTAGGCTGTGTATGCGAAGGCTGTGGACGGGGTATGTAAAAGGGGGTATCCATGACATCATCACACGAGGCCACACTGCCTTTGGTTGTCTTTTTTTATGTTTGTCTTTGTCGTGGTTTCTCCCCGATGTTAGCTTTGAGCGCGATACCCCGAGAATTGCTGTTGGACGGATATGCTTCACAGCAAGGAGGTTTCGGAACAGGTGTGTTTGTTGAAAATCGCGGGTCGGGGAGGGGCGTTGCGAAATAAACTGTATCGCATCAGCAGCAACTTGTGTGCGGCCGAACCTCGGGAGCGTTCCGGCCGCAACACAGGCCGTTCGTCGGAGGGAGCGGAAGGATAGTGACACCCGGTTTGCTGCTGCTGCTGCTGCTGTGGCGGGAGCGGTGAGCACAAGACGAAGCAGTTTGCATTTTTCTTTTTCCTAGTGGATGATGCACCCAAAATGTTTGTTTTGGAAATGCATGCGCCTTTAGCTCCTTTTTTTTTGTGTGTCCGTTTGTTTGTATTGTATTCTTCGCTGAATAGAGGCTGGTTTGTGCTGCTGCTTTTTCTTTCTGTGGGGGTTCTTTTTCCGACAGGCAGTTCGCCAAAGCCCCGCTGGCCGGGTACGTTCCACCCCCGGTTGGGGGTTGTCGGTTGCCTGGGGGTACCTTTTTTTTTTCGTTGATTTTATCGGGGACAGCAATATCGGTGGTGGATAGACCTTCCCGTTGAGGGTAAGCTTACCCGTAAAGATCTGCGCCGCTCATTTTTTTTGCGGGGGAGGAGGAGGTTTCCTTGTTGGTTCTCTTTTGATTTTTCAGAATTTTTCCTGCGATCGAGTTCGTTCGCTTTTTCGACTGCTTTCTTCCCCCCTTTCTTGAACTCATCTTAAGAAGTTGAGTACAGGGTTGCCTAGGTCGCCGAAATGAAAGCTGTTCTGTTCCTTCGCCAACAGCGGTCTCCCGATGCGTACGTCTCTCTGTAAGAGGGGCTTAAATATCCTCCATACTTGCAACACACGGTATAGAGTGGTTCCTTGTTGAACGTTGTGCTTACTCGAAAAAGAAAAGAAAAAACAAAGTGTGTTACATGTACTCTTCGAGTCCACGTGTGTAACTCAGTTGGTCCTTGCATGCGGTCAACTTACTCACCAGGGGGGCGTTTTTTTAGGGGGGCAGGGGGGGGGGGGGGGGGGGGGGGC